TATTTTTTCTCACAAGACTCAGTTTTCCTAAGACACCAGCTGACCTTTGGAAAGACACAAGCAATCACAAGGTCGCTAGTTATTCATGGCTGAATTTGCAACACTGGGATATCAGTAAAGTAGGACTGGAATGGATAATCATAACAACAAGCTGAGCAACAGCTGCGAGGAGAATCTAAAACTAGGACATTTAAATTTCTGAGTAATGGATTAAAGGTTAGTCGAAGCGGATTGTCTTCCTCTTACAAAACTACTACATAGTATAGTGTAGTATTGAAGTTAAGGCTGGGATATCAGTAGAGGAGGACTGGAGTGCTTCACGAAGAGATGGCCGTAACAACAAGCTGAGCTACAACAGCGACGAGAATCCAAAGCTAGGACATAACTACAGGTATGTTAAATTTCTGAGTAATGGATATTTAGTATACTTTAGTCTAGTCCAGTGTAGGAGCTAACGTCGTCTCGAGTTTGCCAGAATTAATATGAAAGAAGAGCGAGCCTTTCCTTCAATTTAAGAGCTTGAGACATTTTAAATTTCTGTAACTCAAGTTAAGTCCATTTTCAGCGTCTAGTCTAGTGTAGGAGTTAAGGTTGTCTCGAGTTTGCCGGAATTAATATAAAAGAAGAGCGGGCCTTTTTTCCATTTTAGAGCTTGAGATATTTTAACTTTCTGCAACTCAAGATGAGCTAATTGCAGCGTGTTTGCATCACTTAGAAGGTAAGTAAATAATCATAACAATTTGATACTAACCTGTGTAAGATGGGTTAATTCACTAATAGGAAAACCCTGATGCGTCGAGCAGCAGCTGGAGCAAAAAGTTATGGTCGATCAGCACTACAGGTCATCTGAAAGAGGTAAGGCCGGCATGTTTCTATTACAACAAGTTTTGTCAGATTTTTTTCTTTTCACCATCATCTCGTGGCTCAGTTCGGATCAGAGAAGGACTGGAGTGCGTCATAAAAAGAGAGCCATAACAACAAGCTGAGCTACAACAGCGAGGAGAATCCAACGCTAGGACAGCCACAGCTACGTTAAATTTCTGAGTAATAGATTATTGGCTATTCGAAGCGGATTATCTTCCTCTTACAACAGTACTACATAGTACAGTACAGTATCGTACTGAATTTAAAGATGGGATATCGGTAGAGAAGGACTGGAGTGCTTCACGAAAAAATGGCCATAACAACAAGCTGAGCTACAACAGCGTGGAGAATCCAAAGCTAGGACATAACTACAGGTATATTAGATTTCTGAGTAATGGAAGTATAGTATAGTTAAATCTAGTCAAGTGGAGGAGCTAACGTCTTCTCGAGTTTGCCAGAATTAATATATAGGAAAGGGCAGGCCTTTTTTACGATTTAAGAGCGCGAGACATTTTAAATTTCTGCAGCTCAAGAGAAGCCCATTTTTAGCGGCTTTGCATCACTGAAAAGGTAAGTAAAGAATTATAACAATGTGATACTAACCTGTGTAAGATGGGTTCGTTGGCTTCGTAGGAAAACCCTGATCCGTGGCATAAAGCAGTTGGAGGAAAAAGTTATGGTCGATCAGCACTAGAGGTCATCTTAAAGAGGTAGGGCCGGCATGTTTTGCTTGCAACAAGTTGTTAGATTCTTTTTCAGCATGACTTCGTGGCTCACTTCGGATCACGTCATAAACATCAAGCGCTTCATAGGTAATATGTAATCATTTTAGCGCATTAGATCATATCTACATGTATTTTGCGCTATATAAGTAATAAATAATTATTATTATTATCATTTGTAAGAATTATTCTGTCTTCTGGACTATCTGAAATTTTCTGTTTACAGAACTTTTTAGGTGGTTTCCTGATTAATTGGTTTAATGACAATGTTTCACAATGTGACGTGTTTAATATTTCAACACCTTTTTTTCTCTTAACAGTTTTCTGTTTTCAGTGGAGAAAAACAAGTCCTTTCAAACAAGGCCCAATCAGCAGCCCATCAGAAAGGTGACAGATGACGATTAACTGTAAGTATTCAATTATGGGAAAAATTAAGGACAACTAACACGATACCCATTGTTATGTATTTCGTATGCTCAAAACACGAATTGTCTTAAATTTAGGAAACGTGGAATGCAGTTCGGTGCAGATCAGTCTAGCGAGGTGCAGTGACTGTTGTGTATGGTACTTTCCAATTCAATCCAGGGTAGTGCAGTGTAGTGCAGTCTGCTGAAGTCAAGCTCAGACTAAGACAGTCCAGTCCAGTGAAGTGCAGTGCCGTCCAGTTCAGTCTTCTGAAGTACTGTCCAGCTCAGTCCAGTCCGGTCCACTCCTCTGAGGTGCGGTCCAGTCCATTCAGTGGAATGTGTGCCCGTCCAGTCCAATCCTGTTCGTTCCCGTCCAATTCCATTCATTCCCTCCCAGCTAAGTATATTTCAATCCAGCGTAGCCCAGGTCCATATAAGTCAATAGCAGTCGAGTCTAGTCCAGTCAAGTGCAGTGCAGAGTAGTGCAATCCGTAACAGCTCAGCCAGTCCCGTCCCGTCCCGTCCAGTCCAGAACAACTAATTGCCGCCGAGTCTAGGACAACGCAGTCCTGCTCAGTCAAGCTAGGAACAACCAAGTGCATTGCGGCCCGTCACGTCAAGTGAAGTGCTATTCCGAAAAGCCCACATTTAAGCCCATACAAGTGTATTTCAGTCTAGTGTTGTCTTCAGTTGTCACACCAACACAAGGAAGAGCGTCTACTTACATTGTCGAAGAAAGGTCTTCTTTAATGATACCTTGAGCCACTTGGGCCCGTCACTTAGGCTTTCCTTTTAATAAAAGTGTACCTAATAACCTAAAAACAAACAAAAATAATTGATAATCAATAAAAGTTAAAATAAAGAAATAAATACATCTCAATAACTGGTAACATTGATTAATTCTTGAAGAACTAAAGAAATGATGAATTGATAGGGAGATCAATAAATATGTAAAATAAATTGATATCTTAATAGGTTAATACGTTGTTAAATAAATACAAATTTATCGTATAGCCTATGTATTAACAATATTTTTGCAGAATATTAAAATACAGTACCACGTTATCTTGGAGGTTTGCAAGTATCTTTTCTCACAAGACTAAGTTTAACCAAGACGCCAGCTGACTTTTAGAAAGACACAAGCAATCACAGGGTCGCTAGTGATTCATGGCTCAATTTGCAACACTGGGATATCAGTAGAGCAGGACTGGAATGGATAATCATAACAACAAACTAAGAACCAGCTGCGAGGTGAATCCAATATATAAAAGAAGAGTGCGCCTTTTTTTCCATTTTAGAGCTTGAGACATTTTAACTTTCTGCAACCCACGATAAGCTTATTTCAGCGACTTTGCATCGCTGAGAAGGTAAGTAAATAATCATAGCAATTTGATACTTACCTGTGTAAGATGGGTTCGTTCACTGATAGGAAAACCCTTATGGCGTTGCCTAAAGCAGCTGTAGAAAAACGTTGTGGTCGATCAATACTACAGGTCATCTGAAAGAGGTAAGACCCGCATGTTTTGATTCCAACAAGTTTTGTTAGATTTTCCTTTTTTCATCATGACCTCGTGGCTCAGTTCGGATCAGAGCAGGACTGAAGTGCTTCACAAAAAGAAATCCAATATAACAAGCTGAGCTACAACAGAGAGGAGAGTCCATAGCTAGGACATAACCACAGGTATGTTAAATGTCTCAGTAAAGGAAGTATGCTATAGTTTAATCTAGTCCTAGTGTAAGAGTTAAGGTTGTCTCGAGTTTGCCAGAATTAATATAAGAGAAGAGCGCGCCTTTTTTTACATTCTAGAGCTTGAGACATTTTAACTTTCTGCAACTCACGACAAGCTCATTTCAGCGACTTTGCATCACTGAGAAGATAAGTAAATAATCATAACAATTTTATACTTAGCTGTGTAAGATGGGTTCGTTGACTGATAGGAAAACCCTGATGCGTTGCCTAAAGCAGTTGTAGGAAAAAATTATGGTCGATCAGCACTTCAGGTCATCTGAAAGAGGGAAGGCCGGCATGTTTTGATTGCAACAAGTTTTGTTAGATTTTGTTTTTTTTTCCAGCACGATCTCGTGGCTCAGTTCGGATCAGAGCAGGACTGGAGTGCTTCATAAAAAGTGGGCCATATCAACAAGCTGAGCTACAACAGCGAGGATAATCAAAAGCTATGACATAACCACAGGTATGTTAAACGTCTCAGTAAAGGAAGTCTAGTCTAGTCAAGTGTAGGAGTTAAGGTTGTCTCGAGTTTGTCAGAATTAATATAAAAGAACAACGGGCCCTTTTTTTCGGTTTAAGAGCCTTAAACATTTTAACTTTCTGTAGCTCAAGATATTTTCAGCGGCTTAGCATCACTGAGAAGGTAAGTAAAGAATTATAACAATGCGATACTGACCTGTTTAAGATGGGTTCGTTGGCTGATAGCAAAATCCCAGATGCGTTGCATAAAGCAGTTGTAGGAGAAAGTTCTGGTCGTTCAGCACTACAGGTCATCTAAAAGAGGTAAGGCCGGCATGTTTTCATTGCAACAGGTTGTAAGATTTTTTCTTTTCAGCACGACCTCGTAGCTCACTTCAAATCAGGTCAAAACCAAATAGCACATCTAGCACTTCATAGGTAATATGTAATCATTGGTAAGAGTTATTCTTTCCTCTAGACTATCTGAAATTTCCTGTTTACAGAACTCTTTAGGTGGTTTCCTGATTGATTGGTTTAATGACAACGTTTCACAATGTGACGTGTTTAATATTTCAACACCTTTTTTTCTCTTAACAGTTTCCTGTTTTAAGTGGAGAAAGACAAGTATTTTCAAACAAGGCCTAATCAACAGATAACAATTAACTGTAAGTATTCAATTATGGGACAAATTAAGGACAACAATCTTTATCACTTTCATTTCACGTGGAATGCAGTTCGGTGCAGATCAGTCTAGTGAGGTGCAGTGACTGTCATGTATGGTACTTTCCAGTGCAATCCAGGGTAGTGCAGTCTGGTGAAGTCAAGCCTCAGACTAAGACAGTCCAGTCCAGTGAAGTGCAGTGCCGTCCAGTTCAGTCTTCTGAAGTGCTGTCCGGCTCAGTCCAGTCCAGTCCAGTCCAGTCCACTGATGTGCAGTCCAGTCCATTCACTGAAATCCTCGCCCGTCCAGTCCAATTCCAATTCATTCTCTTCCAGCTAAGTACATTTCAATCCAGCGTAGGCCAGGTCCATACAAGTCAACAGCAGTCGAGTCGAGTCTAGTCCAGTCGATTGCAGTGCAGAGCAGTGCAATCCGTAACAGCTCAGCCCAGTCCCGTCCCGTCCAGTCCAGAACAACTAACTGCCGTTGAGTCCAGCACAATGCAGTCCCGCTCAGTCTAGTTAGGAACACCCAAGTGCATTGCAGCCCGTCCAGGCAACTGAAGTGCTATTCGGAAAAGTCCACATTGAATCCCATACAAGCGTATTTCAGTCCAGTCTTGTCTTCAGTTGTCACACCAACACAATCAAGAGCGTCTACTTACGGCATTGTCATAGACAGGTCTTTTTTAATGATACCTTAATAATAGTATACCTAATAACTGAAAAGTAAACAAGAATAATTGATAATCAATAAAAGATAAAATAAATAAAAAATATCCATCTCATTCACTGAAAACATAAAATAATTGATGAAGAACTAACGAAATGATGAATTAATAGGGAGATGAATAAATATATATATAAATTGATATATTAATAAGTTGAGAAATAGTTACGTTGTTAAATAAATACAATTTTAACGTATGGTCAATGTATAAACAATATTTTTGCAGAATACTAAAATCTACTACCACGTTGTCTTAAAAGTTTGCAAGAATATTTTCTCACAAGACTAAGTTTTCCGAAGACACTACCTGACCTTTGGAAAGACACATGCAATCACAGGGTCACTAGTAGTTCATGATTGAATTTGAAACACTGAGATATCAGCTGAGCATAACCACAGGTGCGTTAAATGTTTGAGTAATGGATTAAAAGCTAGTCGAAGCGGATTGTCTTCCTCTTACAAAAAGTGCTACATAGTATAGTATACTATAGTATTCAAGTTAAAGGACGGATATTAGAAGAGGAGGACTGGAGTGCTTCATAAAAAGATAGCCATACAACAAGTTGAGCTACAACAGCGAGGAGAATCCAAACCTAGGACATAACCACAACAACATTAAATTTCTGAGTAATTGATTAAAGGCTAGTTGAAGCGGATTGCCTTCCTCTTAGAAAAGTACAACATAGTATAGTATAGAATTGAATTTAAGCTGCGATATCAGTAAAAAAGGACTGGAGTTCTTCATGAAAAGATAGCCATAACAACAAGCTACAATACCGAGGAGAATCCAAGGCTAGGAAATAACCACAGGTATGTTAAATGTGTCAGGAAAGGAAGCATAGTAAAGTCTAGTCTAGTATAGTGTAATCTAGGAGTTACGGTTGTCTCGAGTTTGCCAGAATTAATATAGGAGAAGAGCGGGTTTTTTTTTCGATTTATGAGCTTCAGACATTTTAACTTTCTGCAGCTCAAGATAAGCTCATTTTACGCAGCTTTCCATCACTGAGAAGGTAAGTAAAGAATTAAAACAATGTGATACTAACCTGTGTAACATGGGTTCGTTGGCTGATAGGAAAACCCTGATGCGTTGCATAAAACAGTTGTAAGAAAACGTTATGGTCGACCTACAGGTCATCTAAAAGAGGTAAGGCCGGCAGGTTTTGATTGCAACAAGTTTTGTCAGATTTTTTCTTTTAAGCATCACCTCGTGGCTCACTTTGAATGAGAGCAGGACTGGAGTGCTTCATAAAAAGATAGCGACAACCACAAGCTAAGATAAAAAAGCGTAAAGAATCCAAAGCAAGGACATAATCACAGGTACGTTAAATTTCTGAGTAATGGATTACGGGCCAGTCGAAACGGAAAAAGTACTACATAGTGTAATATAGTAACAAATTGAAATTAAAGTTCGGATATCAGCAAAACAGGACTGGAGTGCTTCAGGAAAAGATACCCATAACAACAAGCCGAGCTACAACAGCGAGGAGAATCCAAAGCTAGGACATGGTATGTTAAATGTCTCAGGAAAGGAAGTCCAGTGTAGTCTAATGTAGGTAGTGTAGGAGTTAAGGTTGTCTCGAGTTTGCCAGAATTTATATAAGAGAAGAGCGGGCCTTTTTTTCGATTTAAGACCTTGAGATATTTTAACTTTCTCCAGTTCAAGATAAGCTCATTTTTAGTGGCTTCCCATCACTGAGAAGGTAAGTAAAGAATTATAATACTGTGACGCTAACCTGTGTAACATGGGTTCCTTGGCATATAGGAAAACCGTGATGCGTTGCATAGATCAGTTAGAGGAAAAAGTTATGGCCGATCAGCACTACAGGTCATCTGAAAGAGGTAAGGCCGGCATGTTTGGATTGCAACAAGTTGTTCGATTTTTTCTTTTCAGCATGACCTCGTGGCTCACTTAAAATCACGTCAAAACCAAATAGCACATCGAGCGCTTCATAGGTAATATGTAATCATTGGTAAGAGTTATTCTTTCTTCTAGACTATCTGAAATTCTCTGTTTACAGAACTTTTTTGGTGGTTTCCTGATTAATTGTTTTAACGACAACGTTTCACAATGTGACGTGTTTGATATTTAACTACCTTTTTTTCTCTAAACAGTTTTCTGTTTTCAGTGAAGAAAAACTAGTGTTTTCAAACAAGACCTAGTCAGCAGCCCATCAGAAAGCTGACAGATGACGATTAACTGTAAGTATTCAATTATGGGACAAATTAAGGAAAACTAACACGATACCCATTGTTACATATTTCGTATGCTCAAAACACGAATTGTCTTAAATAATTAAAACTGAAACTAGCTTCATACTATAATATTTATTTCGTTGATGTTTTCTCAAAACATCAGTATCTTATCAGTCTTTATTAGCAGTCGTTTTGCATGCAAGTCAAGTGTAGATTAATATATTGCCATCTACTCCATTGCAGTTTAGGTCATCCGGAACAATGCTTTTAACTTACATTTAGTGCTGTGCTAAGCTATCCTGTGTGGTCTAGTCCAGTGGAGTACATTCATGTACAGTGCAGCACAGTCTTTGTCAGTTTCATTTGGAAACGTAGAATGCAGTTCGGTGCAGATCAGTATAGCGAGGTGCAGTGACTGTCCTGTATTGTACTTTCCAATTCAATCCAGGGTTGTGCAATGTAGTGCAGTCTGGTGAAGTCAAGCTCAGAGTAAGACAGTCCAGTCCAGTGAAGTGCATGCCGTCTAGTTTAGTCTTCTGAAGTGCTCTCCGGCTCAGTCCCACTCCACTGACGCGCGGTCCAGTCCAATTCCATTTCATTCCCTTCCAGCTAAGTGCATTTTAATCCAGCGTAGCCCAGGTCCATACAAGTCAACAGCAGTCGAGTCGAGTCTAGTCCAGTCAAGTGCAGTGCAGAGCAGTGTAATCCGCAAGAGCTCAGCCCAGTCCCGTCCCATCCAGTCGTGAACAACTAATTACCACCGAGTCGAGGACACCACAGTCCTGCTCAGTCGAGTTAGGAACAACCATGTGCATTGCGGCCCGTCCAGTCAAGTGAAGTGCTATTCCGAAAAGCCCACATTTAAGCCCATACATGTGTATTTCAGTCCAGTGTTGTCTTCAGTTGTCAAACCAACACAAGGAACAGCGTCTACTTACATTGTGGTAGAAAGGTCCTTTTCAATGATACCTTGGGCCACTTAGGCCTGTCACTTGGGCTTTACTTTTAATAAAAGTGTACCTAATAACCTAAAAACAAACAAAAATAATTGATAATCAATAAACGATAAAATAAAAAAATAAATATATCTCAATAACTGATAACATTGATTAATTATGGAAGAACTAAAGAAATGATCAATTGATAGGGAGATCAATAAATATGTAAATAAATTGATATATAAATAGGTTGAGAAATAGTTACGTTGTTAAATAAACACAATTTTATCGCATGGTCTATGTATTAACAATATTTTTGCAGAATATTAAAATACAATACCACGTGGTCTTGGAGGTTTGCAAGCATTTTTTCTCACAAGACTAAGTTTTACCAAGACGCCAGCTGACTTTTAGAAAGACACAAGCAATCACAGGGTCGCTAGTGATTCATGGCTCAATTTGCAACACTGGGATATCAGTAGAGCAGGACTGGAATGGATAATCATAACAACAAACTGAGAACCAGCTGCGAAGAGAATCCAAGGCTAGGACATAAGCAGAGGTACGTTAAATTTCTGAGTAGTGGATTAAAAGCTACTCGAAGCGGATTGTCTTCCTCTTACCAAAAGAACTACATATTGTAGTATAGTATTAAAGTTAAAGCACGGATATCAGTAGAGGAGAACTAGATTGCTTCATTAGATGATAGTCATTACAACAAGCTGAGCTACAACAGCGAGGAGAATCCAAAGTTAGGACATAACCACAGGTACATTTAATTTCAGAATAATAATTTAAAGGCTAGTTGAAGCGGATTTCTTTCTCTTATAAAAGTGCTACATAGTATAGTATAGTAAAATATTGAATTTAAACCTGGGATGTCAGTAGAACAGGACTAGAGTGCTTCATGAAAAGACAGCCATAACAAAAAGCTGAGCTACAACAACGAGGACAATTCAAAGCTAGGACATAACCACAGGTATGTTAAATGTCTCAGTAAAGGAAGTATACTATAGTCTAGTCTAGTCTTAGAGTTAAGGTTGTCTCGAGTTTGCCAGAATTAATATAAAAGAGGAGCGTGCCTTTTTTTCCATTTTAGGGCTTAAGACATTTTAACTTTCTGCAACTCACGATAAGCTCATTTCAGCGACTTTCCATCACTGAGAAGGTAAGTAAATAATCACAACAATTTGATACTAACCTGAGTAAGATGGGTTCGTCCGCTAATAGGAAAACCCTGATGCGTTGCCTAAAGCAGTTGTAGGGAAAAGTTATGGTCGATCATCACTACAGGTCATCTGAAAGAGGTAAGGCCGGCATGTTTTGATTGCAACAAGTTCTGTCAGGTTTTTTTTTTTTTCTTCAGCATGACCTCATGGCTCAGTTCGGATCAGAGCAGGACTGGAGGGCTTAAAAAGATAGCCATAACAACAAGCTGAGCTACAACAGAGAGGAGAATCCAAAGCGAGGACGTGACCACAGGTATGTTAAATGTCTCAGCAAAGGAAGTATACTATAGTCTAGTTTAGTCTAGTGAAGGAGTTAAGGTTCTCTCGAGTTTGCCAGAATTAAGATAAAAGAGCGCGCCTTTTTTCTTATTTTAGAGCTTGAGACATTTTAACTTTCTGCAACTCACGATATGCTAATTTCAGCGGCTTTGCATCACTGAGAAAATAAACAATTTGGTACTAACCTGTGCAAGATGGGTTCGTTCACTGATAGGAAACCCCGATGCGTTGCCTAAAGCAGTTCTAAGAAAATTTATGGTCGATCAGCACTACATGTCATCTGAAAGAGGTAAGGCCGGCATGTTTCCATTGCAACAAGTTTTGTTAAATCTTTTTTTTTTTTTCATCATGACCTCATGGCTCAGTTCGGATCAGAGCAGGACTGGAGTGCTTCATAAAAAGAGAGCCATAACAAAAAGCTGAGCTACAACAGAGGGGACAATCCAAAGCTTGGACATAACCACAGGTATGTAAAATGTCTCAGTAAAGGAAGTATACTCTAGTCTAGTCTAGTCTAAGAGTTAAAGTTGTCTTGAGTTTGCCAGAATTAATATAGAAGAAGAGCGTGTCTTTTTTTCCACTTTAGAGCTCGAGACATTTTAACTTTCTGCGGCTCACGATAAGCTCATTTCAGCGACTTTGCATCACTTAGAAGGTAAGTAAATAATCATAACAATTTGATACTAACCTGTGCAATATGAGTTCGTTCTCTGAAAGGAAAACCCTGATGCGTTGCCTAAAGCAGTTTTTGGAAAAAGTGATGGTCAATCAGCACTACGGATCATCTGAAAGTGGTAAGGCCGGCATGTTTCCATTGCAACAAGTTTTGTTAGATTTTTTTTTCTTCAGCAGGACCTCGTGGCTCAGTTCGGATCAGAGAAGGACTGGAGTGCTTCATATAAAGAGAGCCATAACAACAAGCTGACCTACAACAGAGAGGAGAATCCAAAGCTTGGACATAATCACAGGTATGTTAAATGTCTCGGCAAAGGAAGTATACTATAGTCTATTCTAGTCTAGTGAAGGAGTTAAGGTTGTTAAAGCAGTTGTAGGAAAAAGTGATGGTCAATCAGCACTACAGATCATCTAAAAGAGGTAAGGCCGGCATGTTTCCATTGCAACAAGTTTTGTTAGATTTCTTTTTTTCTTTTTTTTCTTTCTGCATGACCTCGTAACTCAGTTCGGATCAGTGCAGCACTGGAGGGCTTCATAAAAAGAGAGCCATAACAAGAAGCTGAGCCACAACAGAGAGGAGAATTCAAAGCTAGGACATAACCTTTGCATCACTGAGAAGGTAAGTAAATAATCATAACAATTTGATACTAACCTGAGTAAGATGAGTTCTTTCACTGATAGCAAAACCCTGATGCGTGATACTCCAACCTGAGCTACAACAGCGAAGAAATTCCAAAGCTAGGACCTAACCACAGGTATGTTAAATATCTCAGTAAAGGAAGTCTAGACTAGTCTAGTCTAGTCTAGTGTAGGAGTTAAGGTTGTCTCGAGTTTGCCAGAATTAATATAAAAGAACAGCGGGCCCTTTTTTCGGTTTAATAGCTTTAGACATTTTAACTTTCTGTGGCTCAAGAAATCCTCATTTTCAGCGGCTTAGCATCACTGAGAAGGTAAGTAAAGAATTATAGCAATGTGACACTAACCTGTGTAAGATGGGTTCCTTGGCTGACAGCAAAACCCTGATGCGTTGCATAAAGTAGTTGTAGGAGAAAGTTCTGGTCGTTCAGCACTACAGGTCATCTGAAAGACGTAAGGCCGGCATGTTCTGATTGCAACAGGTTGCTAGATTTTTTCTTTTCAGCATGACCTCGTGGCTCACTTCAAACCACGTCAAAACCAAATAGCACATCGAGCGCTTCATAGGTAATATGTAATCATTTGTAAGAGTTATTCTTTCTTCTATACTATCTGAAATTTTCTGTTTACAGAAATTTTTGGGTGGTTTCTTGATTAATTGTTTTAATGACAACGTTTTACAATGTAACTTGTTTAATATTTCAACATCTTTTTTTCTCTGAACAGTTTTCTGTTTTAAGTGGAGAAAAACTATTGTTTCAAACAAGGCCTAATCAGCAGCCCATGACGATTGAGGCCTAATGACAAATGACGATTAACTGTAAGTATTCAATTATGGGACAAATTAAGGAAAACTAACACGATACCCATTGTTACATATTTCGTATGCTCAAAACACAAATTGTCTTGAATAATTGAAACTGAAACTAGCTTCATAATATAACTTTTATTTCGTTGATGTTTTCTCAAAACATCAGTATATTATCTGTCTTTATTAGCAGTCTTTTTGCATGTAAGTCAAGTGTAGATTAATGTATTGCCATCTACTCCATTGCAGTTTAGGCAATCCAAAACATTCCTTTTAACTTACTTCCAGTGCTGTGCTAAGCTATCCTGTGTGGTCTAGTCCGGTGGAGTACATTTAAATAGAGTGCAGTACAGTCTTTATCAGTTTCATTTAAAAACGTGGAATGCAGTTCGGTGCAGATCAGTCTAGCGAGGTACAGTGAGTGTCCTGTATGGTACTTTCCAGTTCTATCCAGGGTAGTGCAGTCTGGTGAAGTCAAGCTCAGACTACGACAGTCCAGTCCAGTGAAGTGCAGTGCAGTGCCGTCCAGTTCAGTCTTCTGAAGTGGTCCGGCTCAGTCCAGTCTAGTCCACTCCACTGACGTGCGGTCCAGTCCATTCAGTGAAATCTGCGCCCGTCCAGTCCAATTCCAATTCATTCCCTACCAGCTAAGAACATTTAAATCCAGCATAGCCCAGGTCCCATATAAGTCAACAGCAGTCGAGTCTAGTCCAGTCAAGTGCAGTGCAGTCCCGTCCCGTCCAATACAACTAACTACCGTTGAGTCCAGCACAACGCAGCCCTACTCAGTCAAGTTAGGAACAACCAAGTGCATTGCGGCCCGTCCAGTCAAGTGAAGTACTACTCGGAAAAGTCCACATTGAAGCCCTTACAAGTGTATCAGTCCTGTGTTGTCTTAAGTTGTGACACTAACACAATCAAGAGCGTCTACTTACGGCATTGTCGTAGACAGGTCGTTTTTAATGATACCTTAATAAAAGTATACCTAATAACTGAAAAGTAAACAAGAATAATTGATAATCAATCAAAGATAAAATAAAGAAATAAAATGTATATCTCAATAACTGAAAGCATTGATTAATTCTTGAAGAACTAAAGAAATGATGAATTAATAGGGAGATAAATAAATATGTAAATAAATTGATATATTAATAAGTTCAGAAGTAGTTACGTTGTTAAATAAATACAATTTTATCGTATGGTCTATGTGCATAAAAGTCAAGTGCAGATTAATGTATTGCCATCAACTCCATTGCAGTTTATGCAATCCAGAACAATTCTTTAAACTTACTTCTAGCGCTGTGCAAAGCTATCCTGTTTGCTCTAGTCCAATGAAGTACATTCACGTGCAGCACAGTACAGTCTATGTCAGTTTCATTTGGAAACGTGGATTGCAGTTCGGTGCAGATCAGTCAAGCGAGGTGCAGTGAACTGGCTGTCATGTATGGTACTTTCCAGTTCAATCCAGGGTAGTGCAGTGTAGTGTAGTCTGGTAAAGTCAAGGTCAGGCAAAGACAGTCCAGTCCAGTTAGGTGCAGTGCCGTCCAGTTCAGTCTTCTGAAAAGCTGTCCGGCTCAGTCCAGTCCAGTCCAGTCCACTCCGCTGACGTGTACTCCAGTCCAGTTTAATCCGGTCCAGTCCATTAAGTGGAGTCTGGTCCCGTCCAGTCCAGTCCAGTCCCGTCCCGTTCAAATCTATTGGTTCCCGTCCAATTCCATTCATTCTCTTCCACCTAAGTACATTTCAATCTAGGATAGCCGAGGTCCCTATAGGTCAACAGCAGTCGAGTCTAGTCCAGTCAAGTGCAGTGCAGAGCACTGCAATCCGTAACACCTCACCCCATCTCCGTTTCGTCCAGTGGAGAACAACTAACTGCCGTTGAGTCTAGCACAACGCAGTCCTGCTCAGTCAAGTTAGGAACAGCCAAGTGCATTGCGGCCTGTCCAGTCAAGTGAAGTGCCATTCGGAAAAGCCCACATTTGAGCCCATACAAGTGTATTTCAGTCCTGTTTTTTCTTCAATTGCGACACTAACACAATCAAGAGCGTCTACTTACGTCATTGTCGTAGACAGGTCTTTTTTAATGATACCTGAATGAAAGTACACCTGATGACTTATAATCAATAAAACATAAAATAAAGAAATAAAATATATATCTCAATCACTGAAAACATTGATTAATCCTTGAAGAACTAAATAAATGATGGATTAGTTGGGAGATGAATAAATATGTAAATAAATTGATATATAAATAAGTTAAGAATTACTTACGTTATTAACTGAATGCAATTTTATCGTATGGTCAATGTATTTAAAATGTTTTTGCAGAATATTAAAATATAGCACCAGGCTGTCTTAACGGTTTGCAAGTATTTTTTCTCACAAGACTAAGTTTTACCAAGACACCAGCTGACCTTTTGGAAAGACACAAGACATCACAAGGTCGTTAGTGATTTATGGCTGAATTTGCAACACTGAGATATCAGTAGAGCAGGACTGGAATGGATAATCATAACAACAAGCTGAGCAACAGCTGCAAGAAGAATCCAAAGCTAGGACATAAGCACAGGTACGTTACATTACTTAGTAGTAGATTAAAGGCTAGTCAAAGTGGATTGTCTTCCTTTTAGAAAAGTACTACATAGTATACTATAGTAAGGTATTGAATCCAAGGCTGGGAGATTAGTAAAACAGGACTGCAGTGCTTAGTGAAAATATAGCCATAACAACAAGCTGAGATACAACAGGAAGGATAATCAAAGACTAGGACATAACCACAGGTATGTTAAATGTCTCAGTAAAGGAAGTAAAGTATAGTCTAGTCTAGTGTAGGAGGCAAGGTTGTCTCGAGTTTCCCTGAATTAATATAAAAGAACAGCGGGCCCTTTTTTCGGTTTAAGAGCTTTAGACATTTTAACTTTCTGTGGCTGAAGAAAAGCTCATTTTCAGCGGCTTAGCATCACCGAGAAGGTAAGTAAAGAATTATAACAATGTGATACTAACCTGTGTAAGGTTGGTTCGTTGGCTGATAGCACCTGAGTAATGGATTAAAGGCTAGTCGATGCAGAAAAGTACTACATAGTATAGTATAGTAAACAATTGAATGTAAATCTAGGATATCAGTAAAACAGGATTGGAGCGCTTCATGGAAAGATAGCCATAACAAAAAGCTAAGCTACGACAGTGAGGAGAATCCAAGGCTAGGACAAAAACCATAGGTATGTTAAATGTCTCAGTAAAGGAAATCTAGTCTAGTCTAGTCTAGTGTAAGAATTAAGGTTGTCTTGAGTTTGCCAGATATAATTTAAAAGAAGAGGGCGCCTTTTTCTCGATTTAAGAGCTTCAGACAATTTAACTTTCTGCAGCTCAAGATAAGCTCATTTTCAACGGCTTTCCATCACTGAGAAGATAGATAAAGAATTATAATACTGCAATACTACTCTTTGTAAGATGGGTTCGTTGGCTGATAGGAAAACCCTGATGCGTTGCATAGAGCAGTTGAAGGAAAAAGTCGTGGTCGATCAGCACTACCGGTCATCTGAAAGAGGTAAGGCCGGCATGTTTTGATCGCAAGAAATTTTTTTAAATCTTTTCTTTTCTCCATGACCTCGTGGCTCAGTTCGGAGCAGAGAAGGACTGAATAAAAAGATAGCTATTACAACATAGTGAGCTACAACAGCGGAAAGAGACTAAAAGCTAGGACATAATAACAGGTACATGTAATTTCTGAGTAATGGATTAAAAACTACTCGAAGCGGATTGTCTTTCTCTTAAAAAAAATACTACACAGTTTAATATAGTATTAAAATATAGAGGTGGATTATCGATAGAACAGAGCTGGAGTGCTTCACGAAAAGATGGCCGTAACAACAAGCTGAGCTACAACAGCGAGGAGAATCTAAAGCTAGGACATAACTACAGGTATGTTAAATTTCTGAGTAATGGATATATAGTATACTTTAGTCTAGTCTAGTGTAGGAGCTAGCGTCGTCTCGAGTTTGCCAGAATTAATATAAAAGAAGAGTGGGCCTTTTCTTTAATTTAAGAGCTTGAGACATTTTAACTAGCTGCAGCTAAAGATAAGCCCATTTTCAGCGCCTTTGCATCACTGAAAAGGTAAGTAAAGAACTATAACAATGCGATACTAACCTGTGTAAGATGGGTTCGTTTACTGATAGGAAAACCCTGATGCGTTGCATAGAGCAGTTGGAGGAAAAAGTTATGGTCGATCAGCACTACAGGTCATCTGAAAGAGGTAAGGCCGGCATGTTTTGATTACAACTAGTTTTGTTATTTTTTTTCTTTTTAGTAGGACCTCGTGGCTCACTTCGGATCACGTCATAAACAAGAAGCACATCGAGCACTTCATAGGTAATATGTAATCATTTGTAAGAACTATTCTCTCTTCTAGACTATCTGAAATTTTCTGTTTGCAGAACTATTTAGGTGGCTTCCTGATTAATTAAAGTTTAAGCTAAGATATCAGTAGAGCAGGACTGAGAGTGCTTCGTAAAAAGATAGCCATAATAACAAGCCTACCGACAACAACGAGGAAAATCCAAAGTTAGGACAACCTCAGGTACGTTAAGTTTTTGAGTAATGGATTAAAGGCCAGTCGAAGCGGGTCGTGTTCCTCTTTACAAAATCACTATATAGTAAAGTATAGTATTAAATTTAACGCAGAGATATCAGTAGAGCAGGACTGGGTTGCTTCATGAAAAGATAGCCATAACAACAAGCGGAGCTACAACTGCAAGGAGAATCCAAGGTTAGGACATAACCACAGGTATGTTAAATGTCTCAGTAAAGGAAGTATAGTATAGTCTAGCCTAGTCTAGTGTAGGAGTTAAGGTTGTCTCGAGTTTGGCAGCATTAATATAAAAAAAGAGCGCGCCTTTTTTCGATTTAAGGGCTTCAGACACTTTAACTTTCTGCAGCTCAAGATAAGCTCATTTCAGCGGCTTAGCATCACTGAGAAAGTAAGTAAATAATCATAACAATGTGATACTAACCTGTGCAAGATGAGTTCGTTCACTGATAGGAAAACCCTGATGCGTTGCAGAGAGCAGTTGGAGGAAAAAGTTATGGTCCATCAGCACTACAGGTCATCTGGAAGAGGTAAGGCCGGCATGTTTCGATAAGAATAAGTTTTGTTAGAGTTTTTCTTTTCAGCATGATCTCGTGGCTCAGCTAGGATCAGAGCAGGACTTGAGTGCTTCATAAAAAGAGAGCCATAACAACAAGCTGAGCTACAAAAGCGAGTAGAATCCAACGCTAGGACATTTTCTGAGTAATAGATTATTGGCTATTCGAAGCGGATTATCTTTCTTTTACAAAAGTGCTACCTAGTACAGTATAGTATTGTACTGAATTTAAAGCTGAAATATCGGTACAGAAGGACTGAAATGTTTCACGAAAAAATGGCCATAGCAACAAGCTGAGCTACAACAGCGTGGAGAATCCAAAGCTAGGACATACCTACAGGTATGTTAGATTTCTGAGTAATGGAAGTATAGTATAGTTGAGTCTAGTCTAGTGGAGGAGCTAACGTCGTCTCGAGTTTGCCAGAATTAATATAAAAGAACAGCGGGCCTTTTTACGATTTAAGAGCTTGAGACATTTTACTTTCTGCAGCTAGAGAAGCCCATTATTAGCGGCTTTGCATCACTGAGAAGGTAATTTAAGAATTATAACAATGTGATACTAACCTGTGTAAGATGGGTTTGTTGGCTGATAGGAAAACCCTGGTCCGTTGCATGGAGCAGTTGGTGGAGAAAGTCGTGGTCGATCAGCATTACAGGTCATCTTAAAGAGGTAAGGCCGGCATGTTTTGATTGCAACAAGTTGTTCGATTTTTTCTTTTCAGCATGACCTCGTGGCTCACTTCGGATCACGTCATAAACAAGAAGCACATCGAGGGCTTCATAGGTAATATGTAATCATTTGTAGGAATTATCCTTTTCTCTAGACTATCTGAAATTTTCTGTTTACAGAACTATTTAGGTGGTTTCCTGATTAATTGGTTTAATGACAACGTTTCACTACTCACAATGTTACGTGTTTAATATTTCAACATCTTTTTTTTCTCTTAACAGTTTTCCGTTTTCAGTGCAGAAAAACTCGAGTTTTCAAACAAGGCCTAATCAGCAGCCCATCAGAAAGGTCACAGATGACGATTAACCGTAAGTATTCAATTATGGGACAAATTAAGGAAAACTAACACGATACCCATTGTTACATATTTCGTATGCTCAAAACACGAATTATCTTAAATAATTGAAGCTAATAAAATATTTATTTCGTTGATGTTTTCTCAAAACATCAGTATATTATCAGTCTTTATTAGCATTCTTTTTGCATGCAAGTCAAGTGTACATTAATGTATTGCCATCTACTCCATTGCAGTTTAGGTAATCCAGAACAATCCTTTTAAATTACTTCCAATGCTGTGCTAAACTATCCTGTGTGGTCTAGTTAAGTAGAGTACATTCATGTACAGTGCAGTACAGTCTTTATCAGTTTCATTTGGAAACGTAGAATGCAGTTCGGTGCAGATCAGTCTAGCGAGGTACAATGACTGTTTTGTATGGTACGTTCCAGTCCAATCCA